GGTGAGTAAGTGTGAGCGATTTGTACCCACTTAGATGAAATGCAGAATGGGAGTTTTTTTTTTGTTCTGAGACATCTTTTTCTTTTTTTTTTTATCATTCACAATGAAACGAAAATTCTCTTGCAACACCACAATTTTGAGTGTTCAACTTTTGGACGCTTTAACTACCCTCTAATGCATTTCACTCCAGTGACTGGTAACGCAACTTGAAGCTACTCCTAGGGGGGAAATCGTCTTGCGATTATGACAAAACTGCCTACAATCCGGTGTGCGTATATGCGTGTTCCCTTTTGGTTGAAAGGAGAGATGATGTGTTTGTGTTTGCTGTGGTGCTATTGGTGCATGGGCTGGTGTGCACACCGTGACGCTGTCCAAAATGGGCTGAAGCGATCGCCCTTTGGGGATCAATATGGGTTAGCCCACACCAACACACACCCATTCACACATGATGAAGATGTTTCCTAACTCCCAGAGTCATTTTTTTTCCTCTCTGATAAGAAGCGTCCTTTCTGTCTTTCTTGTAAAAGTGTTGTGATTTACATGTCCGATGCAATGAATGCTATGATTGTGAGGACTTCAGCACACTTTGAATGGAAGACTAATTTTATATGATTGATTGCTGGGAAGGGAAGTACAAGTGCTGCGACCTCGGACCGCTCTGAAGACCAAAGAGGGCATGAGATTGGAAGGAGGGGGGTGGAATATGTGGGCCTGGGGCTACCGTGATGGTACAAGGGCAGGGCAACCGAGAGGATCAAGTGTTAAACAGTTAGCATTTTCTGCATATCTATTTCTGTCGTCACTCCCAGTAACCTTCTTCGATGGGCTTGGGGTTGGAGTCGCATTGGATTGAGAAGCTGGTCGAATGCAACATCACTACCTCTCCCTTCACTGATCCACCAGAATTGGGGTTTTGCCTTATAGAGAGGGGAAAGGTGTTGAATTTGCATGAAAACACCTTTTTTTCTCGCGTCTGCTTCTCCTTACCACGTTTTGCGCAATCATTATCAAGAGTGGTTGACGGTTATGCTGGTTTTAGTTGGTAGTAGCCTTTCCACAGGTCATGGGGGTGCACAGCATTTTTAGTCCTTCCAGTGGAGATCTGCACTTCCACTCATCTAAGACTTATCAAGTAGGGGTGAAAATTAGGATTGTTGTTGTTGCTGTTGTTTTTGAGTTGAATTGGCTTTCTACTGTCTTCATTGTAGCCACATAACACTTCCATAAACGAGGAGAGAAAAGATTATGGGGACAGGGTGTGGGGACAAAATGCCTGTAGATGAATGTAGCACATCCTGAGTAGTCATTTTTTTTTTGCTGAAAAGACGAAATTACTCCTTGCTGTTGTGTAGAATCCTTTTGATCCTGTTTGGCACCCACTTTATCTGGGCGGGAAGAGTAGTTGAGGCAAACTCCTCCATGTGCTCGTCCCAAACTCACTTCCTTGCCCAGAAGTAATATTGGGTTAAAAAATCCGTCTAGTACTTTACTGCCGACTTTTCAGGACAAGTTGTCTGTGCTAACAGCCAAACGATTCACTGTCTGCTTTATGATGATATTGCACCCATTGGAGTGAATATCACATCGAGGGACATCAAATGATCACGGACAGTGGATCTTGTCTATTCTCGCAGAAGTCTCTAGAACTCTTTTGTCCATCCAATCTCAGCGTAGATAAGGTAGTAAGACAGGAGATTTCTATCTTTACTGATAGCGCAATTCGACTATTCTTTAGCTTCCCGTCTACTTGCACAATTCGCTTGAGAAGCTGGTACGGAGCTATAAGATGGATTCGAATCCCGATGATGTCAAGTTGTTGGATTTCATTCAAAATAAGGTAAGGTGTCCGCCTTGTTCCACTGGATTTATGCATGTCAAAGGCTGCAAAACTCGAAGAATGGCGGTGGAACTTCATATTGCATCTTTTGCATGCATTTGTGTCTACTTAAATCCACTATAGTAGGAGGAGACGTACTTTCAAACCAATGTGCCCTCACACCTACTTTTAGACACATTTTTTTTCTAAATTGGAATCTTTCATTATGGATACTTGCTCCTTTTGTATTAAAATGTTTGGAACTTTTTTAAAGTTTACCTGCTGTGGCGTTGTGGGAGTTGAGGACTATTGGGAATCGCGTGTTCCCTCCTCCTGTGGTGCAACCATTGCGGAGCGCACTCAGCGGCCGGTAAGCAAAGTCTCCACGCAGACAACTACTTTTCAATAACTTTAGTAGGCTCTGTAGCCAAAAAACACTTACGATTTCAACCCAAACTTGACCTTTCTAATAAAATAAGCGTCCTACGGGGTCTATTAATGTCGTTATTGCAAGTGGAATTGAGATAATGCATAAGTTGTTGAGACTAGCTAGTGAAAATCGTTCTCATTTCACCAAAACGCATAATTTTTTGCAGGGATGCCAGTCTAAGATCCTTCTATCAGGGCAGGAGAACCTCTCAACAATGACAGGCATTGGTATCGGATTTGGTGTAATAATGGTGAGACGCATACTTATGGAAAGCTAACAGCGCTTTTGGCACAAAGTGCCTGTCTATAGATAGCATTTAAAAATAGTAGCATTTACTGTGTGAAACTTATTACTTTTGGGATCAGCATTGCGACATAACCACACACAAGCATATTTTCCTC